GGCAGCATCAGCGCTGTGCCACCATCCCTGTGCTCCCAAAGAGGCTCCCCCCAATAAATCCCAGAGATGGGATTTGCAGGAGCTCAGCATTGCACGAGGTCAGACCCCACTGAGGCCGTTTTCAGGACTGGGATCAGCGATTCCCAAACCTCCTCCTGTTTCTCCAAAGCTCCTGGGGTGCAGCTGGGGCTCCCTACCTCCCTCCACTCAAAGCCTGCAAGCGTTTCACAGGGGTGCATGCATGGAAACAACACAAATTCAGCTCCAGGATAAAGGGAACTGGAGGCTCTGCTGTGATAACACCGCATTTCGTAGAAGTTTGAGCCACTTCTCCCTTTCACATTTCCTGTTCCGGCTGCTCTGGGGCTGCTTTTCTTTTTCCACTGCTGTTTTTTTTGTCCTTTGCTGTCTATAAATGGGACATCTGGGGTAACAGCCTGCTTCCTGCTGCCTCCCACTTCTTCCTGGCCATAAGAACCAAAAGCAAAACCTTCCCCTGGACTGAAGGGGAGCATCAAGCCCAGGGTTCTTTTTGGAAAATGCTGATCCAAAAGGGATGGAGCTACGTGCAGCTCTGCCCTGGAAGCAGGCAGGGGCTGTTTGTTTTTCCCTTTGCTTCCATCCTTGATTACCTTTCCCCTGTAACAGAGAGATAAGAAAAGCCCAGCCTAGGGGCTGGGGGCTGCACAGAGCTTGTAGTTACCTGTGTTAACTACAGAAAGCACTGCAAGAAGACCCTTATAAAGAGAACTGGTACCCCTGGGTGGTCTCCAGCAAGCACGAGCCATGCCTTATATAAAGCCCTACAAATCCCATGCTGGGCGCTAGGACAGGCATAGCCCCTGGCTCTGTGTCCACAGCAAGGGAGGGACATGAAAACAAGGGGAGAGCATTTCCCTGCTCCTCGAGCCCGGCTCAGCACTTGACACAGACAGGAACCTGGATAAGCAGCACCTTGAGAACATTCCTCCCTCCTGCACAAGGCATTTCCCAGTGATAAAACACTCCTAAGTAATGATCTCGCGGCGTTATCCCTATTAAAGGGTCACTCGGGGAAAATGTGATGGAAATGAGAAATTATTCAGGTCTGCCAACAGTATTTAACTTTCAAGCAGCTCTTAATTAGAAGCCAGGGGCCATTTATACAACCGTTGAGATTTGCATAGGAATCTGCAAGTAGAAGCTGGGAAGAATGATGATTTTTGAGTGGTGAAGCAGCATACTGGGGGCTGGGGGTTGCTGGCCTGGGATCCAGGCTCTGTGGCCTCAGGAAGGTGGTTCTCTCTCTCCCATCTCCTCAATTTTTCCATCTTTAAATGGAGACCATTGTGTGCCTGCAGGTCCCAGCAGGCGACCACTGGGTTGCACAGTCCCTGCTCTGATGGGAGTTCAGATGAGGGGTTTCCATTTCAGCTCCTCACTGCTTTCCCCAGCACAGAGCTGGTTCACAGCACTGCATATTCTTTGCTAAGAGCCCAAACCAACCCTGGACAACCATCAGTTATGTCTGTGCCCTCTGACTGGGATTCCACCTGTACCCAACCAGCTGGGTTGATGGCTAGACTTGATGACCTTAGTGGTCTTTTCATACCTGAATGATTCCACGGCTGGAAAAATGCTTGAGCGGACAGAAAGAAAAATAATCCAACTTTTGGTTAGCTACTCTCCTGCTCTTTCCTATTCTGGTTAGATTCTCCTGCTCTTTCCTCCCTGCCCATCACTCCGTGGTGCTGAGGCTCCCCCCACTCAGGGCCTCACCCTGCTGAGCTCTGCCCTCATGTCTCATTGAGGTTGGGGAGACCTCTAGAATCCCCAAGTCCAACCTCAACCCATCCCCACCACATCACTCAATGCAACATCCACTCTTTTCTTGAGCACCTCCAGGGACGGTGACTCCCCCACCTTCCTGACCCGATGCCAATGCATCACCTCTCTTACCGAGAAGAAATGTTTCCTGATATCCAACCTACCTTTCCTAATATCCTCTGCCCACAGCTGGATAAGGGGGACGTGGCCACGCTTGGGCTGCCCTCCACCACCGGCCACGGTGACACCGACGGCCCCATCTGCCTGGACGTCCCTGATGGCACACCGGACCCCCACAGGACCAAGGCAGCCATTGAGCACCTGCACCAAAAGATCCTCAAGATCACAGAGCAGATCAAGATCGAGCAGGAAGCTCGTGACGACAACGTGGCCGAGTACCTGAAGCTGGCCAACAACGCGGACAAGCAGCAGGCGTCGCGCATCAAGCAGGTCTTTGAGAAGAAGAACCAGAAATCGGCGCAGACCATCGCGCAGCTGCACAAGAAGCTCGAGCACTACCACAAAAAGCTGAAGGAGATCGAGCAAAACGGCCCGTCCCGACAGCCCAAAGATGTCTTCCGGGACATGCACCAAGGTCTCAAGGACGTCGGGGCAAACGTCCGTTCCAGCATCAGTGGATTTGGTGGTGGTGTGGTGGAGGGCGTCAAAGGAGGGCTCTCGGGGCTGTCTCAGGCCACCCACACCGCAGTGGTGTCCAAGCCTCGGGAATTTGCCAGCTTAATCCGCAATAAATTCGGCAGCGCAGACAACATCGCCCACCTGAAGGACACGTTGGATGATGGACACCCCGAGGAGGCCTCGCGGGCGCTCAGCGGTAGTGCCACGTTGGTTTCCAGCCCCAAGTATGGCAGTGATGATGAGTGCTCCAGTGCCACCTCGGGGTCAGCTGGTGGCAGCAATTCTGGGGCCGGTCCCGGTGGGTTGGGAAGCCCCAAATCCAACACGTTGGAAGGCCATCACAGCAACTTTGACACCATCCTGGAGGAGCTGCGGGAGATCAAGGACAGCCAGTCGCACCTGGAGGACTCCATGGAGGACCTCAAGGCACAGCTGCAGCGGGATTACACCTACATGACGCAGTGTTTGCAAGAGGAACGCTACAGGTATAGGGCTGAGAGTGGGGGGGGGGCAATGTGTGTCACCCAGGGTGGCTTTAGGGGACCATGAGGGAACCTTCCTGGGCTTGTGACCGAGCCCTGCACACTGGGGATGGTGGGAGCTGCACCACAGAGGATCAGGAGGTACGTTACCATCATCAGCCCCAGGCAGGAGGGAGGTGGATCCAAGGGTTGTGGTTCTGGGCGGGGAGGGAAGAGAGGGGGTCCCTCCAATGCCAGTGCCCCTCTGCCCCCACACACAGGTATGAGCGCCTGGAGGAGCAGCTGAACGACCTCACTGAGCTGCACCAGAATGAAATGACCAACCTGAAACAGGAGCTGGCGAGCATGGAGGAAAAGGTGGCCTACCAGTCCTATGAGAGGGCACGGGACATCCAGGTAGGGGAGCACCAGGGCTCAGCCTCACATTGCACCCTCCACCAAGGGGGCCAGAAAGGGACCCTGGGGGCAATGGAGGGAGGGACAAAGGGAGCCCTTTTTCCAGCTGTTAGCCCCATCCAGATTGGGTCCTTGCTGTGATTTTGTCTCAGCAAGAAGCTGTGTCCCCAGAATGTTGTCTGTGCCCCAGGAAGTCCCTGCTGTCTTAAAATCCCCAGCTGCTCACAGCCATGCAAGGCTCAGGGTGGGATTGTCTACACTTGGGCTAACATCAGCCCTGCTATCCCAGTTTGGGTAGGTACCCATGGTACAGAGGCCATTCCCAGCACAAACAGGGCACAGATTCACAGAGGGAAACCCATTCTACCACCCATCACCATCATAATAGGTTTGTGCACATAGCAGAGCTACAGCAAGCAACGCCTTGCACAGAGCAAATCCCCAAAGCCCTCAACTGGGCTAAGTAACACAACTGCACCCTGCAGGAAGCAGTGGAATCCTGCCTGACGCGGGTGACCAAGCTGGAGCTTCAGCAGCAGCAACAGCAAGTGGTGCAGCTGGAAGGAGTGGAGAACGCCAACGCCCGGGCACTGCTGGGCAAATTCATCAATGTCATCCTGGCTCTGATGGCTGTGCTGCTCGTCTTCGTCTCCACCATCGCCAACTTCATCACACCGCTTATGAAGACCCGCATGCGCATCCTCAGCACCGCCCTGCTCGTCCTCTTCCTTTTCTTCCTCTGGAAACACTGGGACTCCATCACCTACTTTCTGGAGCACGTCCTGCTCCCCAGCTGATCCACAGCAGCGGGGTTTTTTCCATTTCCCAATGGAGGAGTGAGCAGGAAGCCTTTGGTCATTTCTTTGTGCACTCTTTGGTTGCTTTCCTGGCCCTCAGTCAGCTGCGGTCGCTCAGAGCACGGTGAAGTCGGTCCTGTGGGATGCTCAGGGTGGGGGAGTTTTGGATGAAATTGGTAATGTAAGCGGTGTTGGGTTTTTCTAGGGGGTCAGTTTGGATGGGTTTTTTTTTATTTGTTTGTTTTTAAACGTTGCTCTGTTCTGAAAGTCAGTAGGAAGGTCTGCAGAGACCACCTCAAGGTTGTTGGTAGAGAGGATTGAGCTGGAGCAAACCCAGCTCTGGGAGAAGTTCCTGTGCAGAGAGGAGTCACCGGGGCTGGCTTTTCCCTTTCAATCTGAAAGACAGCAAACAGATGGAGCTGAAGCAAAGCACGTGGCAAAGGAGGAAGCAGGTCCAAGGCAAGCATCACTGCTCCCAGCGAGCTCACAGCAGGACACACATCTCACCAGCTTCTCCAACCCCATCACCAGGACCAGGGGCAGAGCAGGGCTGCGGTGCCGTCCCCACGCAGACCCAACGCCACAAACAGCATCAGCACCGGCACCAAACGAGACCCCCCTCTATTGGTTTCCCCTCATTTATTTATTGCCCCTTCCTTTGGCTTCGATTGATCTGATCTCTTCAGGGACACCCAGACTTTCCAGCATCACGCCACTGAGTTTTCCAGCCTCTGCAACGTGTCGTGTGTGCGTGTGTGTGTGCGGTTTTTAAGTTAATTCAAGACTCTTGTTTCCATTTGTGAATCAAAGCTGGTAGCGCCGGGGGAGGTGGGCAGCCGCCTCCCCAGCCCTACACAAGAGCACAGCATGCAGTCTTGGATGTTTCTTAAATTATTTCAGACCTATATATTTATGTAATATATCTACACACACACACATACATATATATATGTATAAATATAGATTAAGATCTATCCACAGTCAGATCCTCTTCTGGTGCAAATGGGTGCCACTCCACCAACTTCGGAGGCACTGAACCAGTTTGCCTCAGCTGAGAATTTGGCCTTTAGCAGCTGTCCTGCTCTGCCAGCCTCATGTGCAGGGCTGCTTTGGTGCATGGGGTCCCAGGGAGGGGTGCATCGCTTCTGACCTGGGCACAGCTGGGAGTATTTTGGCCACCAGGTAGGTACCAGCCTGAATGCATCAGGGTGAAGTGGAGGAGAGGACAGCTTGGGGGGCAAGCAGCAGGTTGGGTTTCAGCTGCTTGCATTGATCTGGAAAGGCAATGGATTGATCAGAGCAGGCAGCTGAGCCAACACAGAGGGAGGAGGCAGGCAGTGGGGCCTGGGGGGAGGAGGGTCCTGGCAGCACCAAGGGCTGGGTGCATGGATGGACCCCATTCTTACACATCCTCCAAGCCTACTGGCTGTTATTTTCCCCCAGACGAGGGCGCTGCCTTCAGGCTCAGTCACCATTTACCCCCTCTTTGTGCCTCCCACATACCTTAGCACCCCCCCAGACCTTCCCCTACAAGTTCCCCACCCCACACTGGGGGTCTCCCCTGCCTCACCCCTTCCCCCTCCCTTACATCTTCCTGGCTGCTGCCCCATCACCACACTGCCAGACACAGGCATCGATACCTCTGCTTGCCCAGCACCGCTGCCCGCCTGCATCCTCACGTTCGTTACCTGTTAACGTTGTCCCTGCCCAGGGAAGCAGCAGCCCCATACAGAGAGCTGGAGATGCCCGGTACCCCATCCGAGCCCCACACCAGGGATGGCTCCGGAGCTGCGGCCACTGGAGGGCTCCCGGCAGCCGTAAAGAAGAGAAGAGGCGGAGAGAAGATGGGGAGGGGATCTGAAGCAACCCCCCCTGCGGGCGCTGGGGCCGGGCGGTGTCCCTCATCCTAATTAGCGTCTTAACCCGTTCCTGCCCGCTGCAGAGCCAGGAGGATGAGGTTTTGGGGTAGAAGCCCCATAAGCTCTGCAGCTAGAGGGGAAAGGAGCAGCTGCGGTGGATACGGTGCTCAGTGGGGTCCAGGGATGGGCACAGCTTTGAAGGAGGTAGAAAAACCCCCAAAATGCCGTTCTGCTGTTTAGGGCACGCCGGTTTTGCAGAGCTGCTAGGAACCATCTTTAGAGGCTTGCTGGGAGCAGCAGGGAGCCCTGGAAAGCGCCAGCACCATCCTTTCCACCTCTCAGAGCTGGAGACCACCGCGCGTCCCGTTGACATCCCACATAACAAAGCTGTGAGCCCACCTGAACCACCCTATCCCCATCCCCAACCTGGGGACAGCGGGAGCAGAGAACCCCACTGCCCCTCCAGCATCCTCATGCCCCCAGGTCTGGACTCCCACCACCATTCCCAGTGAGGGGGGAGGCAGAAATCCCAGCACTTGGAGCTGGGCACTGCAGTGAGCAGCAGCTACGGGGACAATTCCAATGCACCAAGCACAGCTTGGGGCTCCCTGAGGACTCACATTCTCCAAGCAGGGCTGGAGAGGCTCATAAGAGCCCCCTTTGTGCCACAGGGAGGAGAGGTGAAGCTTTGACGTCAGCTGGGGAGGAATTCCTTAATGCCATTCAGGCCTCCCTCGGCTGCCTTGATAATTGCATTTTATGTAATTGCAGCAGCTGGGCTGCCAGTCTGGTACTGGGAGCTGGATGAGGAAGTGGGCTTGGGGACGTGGGGGCAGTGGGAGCAGCTCTTCCTTTGGGTATAGCATTGCAACCAGGGCCATCCTGCAGCCCATGCCTTGCTGTCTTCCCCTGCCTCACGTGGGATCACTCTTCAGCACGGGGAGAAGTAGTTGTCATACATTGGCTTGGTATCCAAGGGGGTAATTGCACTTAATGGAGATGGATAAGGCGGTGATTTATCTCACTCACATTATGCTGTCAGGTTCCCAGCTGCACGAGTCGTGGACAATAAAATAATGTGTTTGCTGGTGGAGTTCCCAAACGTCCCCACTGTGTCATATTGCCTCTCTGCCCCAAGGAGAGGAGGAGCTGCTGAGCACCTGCCTGCATTTTGGGGTGCATTGCCTTGCTGCTGCTCATGGGACGCTGGAGCAGATGCTGCCACTGATCCCATAAGGAGGTCATGGCCACTGGTCCTGCTGCGAAGCCCAACACAGCCCCTGTCCTCAGCTCTTCTGGCTCAGCAGCTTTCCTCCAGAGGAGTAGGAGGAGGGGGGGGGCTGGAGGGTGGCTGGCCCCAGCAATGGGAAAGCCAACGGGACCCCAGACATCCCCTCCCCCTGCCTGCCGGCTTGGCCAAGCTTAGGCTGTAAAAAGAAAGAGCTGGTACCAAGGATAACATGCTTTGCATTCCTGCGCTGTCTCCAGGGGAATTTCGACTGATCTACATGAAAAATACTCGCTACCCCTGAGGTCAAAGTGTCTGGAGGAAAAATTTCCGAGCGGAAAGGCTTGGGGCAGCACAGAGAGGAGCCACAGCCAGCGGCTGCAGGGTGCTGGGATCTCACCTGCTGGCAGCAGTGTGGGTCGGTGACAACGGCATCGTGTCTGGTGACAGTGCCATCACTGTGGGCACCACCAGGAGCCTATGAGCCCATCCTGCTGCCCCTGTGCCATTCCTGCCTCCCTCCCCTGCCTGGTGCCGGTGCCATTCCTGCCTCCCCCTGCCTGCAGCCTCCCTTGGCTCTGCTGGGGGCTGTGGGGGTTCATTGCTGAGCCCACATTCCCTCCCCACCACCCAGCATTTTGATTTCAAGCACCTCCAGAGCCTTGCGGTGCCTGTCCTGTGCTATGGGGCTGTTAAAGGGGATGAGAGGCAGAGATGGGGGAAAATGAAGCAGCAGAGGGGAGGCAGCCAAAAGCACTCAGCAAAGTCCCATTTCCTCTGAGTCACTGTAGTTAAAGCTGCAGCTTGTAAACCCCAAATCTCCCCGTGAGTTCCTGCAGCTCTGCTGGGAGCAGCAGTTGGGGCCACCCCAATGCACTGTGTGCTTGATGGGAACTGATTTCCAGGCTGCTGCAATGCATCCTCTGTTGGTTCTGCTCCTCTGTGGGATGAACGCAACCCCAATGGGCTGCAGGTTTCTTTCTCCCAGTGCTGCTGCCCGCATCTGGAGACTGGGGCTCAGCCTGCCCCAAATTCACATCAGCATCCATTGGCCACAACATGGGGTACGTCACAGTGCCAATGGATCTCAGAGCTCACATAACCCAGCAGCCCAACCCAGGGGCAGAGAGCAGAAGAAAAGCAACAGGTTTGCTCCCCCCCCCCCCATGAGGATGGGGACAGCATGAATGGAGCACAGCCCCACTGCACGCGGCTCCTCTTCTGCTCGTGGCCCATGTAATAATTTAATTGCACATTTGAAAATAAATACGTGTCTGGGGTTGGGAGAAAGAGAAGGCTGAGGGATGAAAATGAAGAGGAATTTAATTAAGGGCAGCGCTGGGAATGTCTCTACCACAATAAAGATAAGGAGGATCAATTGCTTCTTCCTACGATCAAAGAGAAGGGCTGGAGGGGGGGAAGCAGTGCTGTCAGAGGGTACAAAGTACAGCAGAGGGAGGGGGAGGTGGGAGGGAAAGGCACACGGGGTTGGGGGGGGAAAGCAAGAGACAGCTTAGATAAGATTAGGAAATAATTGATGGTGCAGATCCCCGGGGGGCTGCTGGGACCTGCAGGTCCAAATGATGTATCTGATTGCTTGTGAATGCAAAGGGGCGCCCTGACGTGGTTTTGCAAGGGCTGAAGTTGTGGCTCCCAAACCGAGGGAACCGATGCCCGTTGAACCCACACAGCTCTGCAGCCCCCTCCCCATCGCATTGCATTGCAGGCAGCCAAGTAACTGCACCCTGCAGTTCTTCCAGGTGCAAAAAAGGGAAACGCTCAGCACCGAGCTGCCAGGAGGCCCCATTCCTGCTCGTGGTATTTGCATGGGGTTGGGACATCGTTGCCACGTTTGATTTGCATCCCCGGGTGGGAACCTCCTGCAGCGCCACTCTGTGTGTATGTGTGTGTATGTGTGTGTCTGTGTGTGTGTGTGAGCCTCAACGCCCAGCCTTGCCACCAGAAAAACGGGCTCCTGCCTCCTGCCTCACCCCTGTGCAAGGAGCCCAACCTGTGCCCCAAGCAGGCGGCTCAGCCGGCTGGGGAGGGCGGGCAGGGCTGCAGCTGGCAGGGAGACAGCATGGGCTCTGTGACAGCCCTGCAGCTCTGCAGGAGTGCTGCCAGCTCCCTGCCTGATTTGCACAGGGCTCGGAGGGGTTTTGCTGCCGTGCTCCATAGAGTCACTCCGTGGGCAATGCCAACCTCTCTGCTCTCACCCCTGCCCTCCCTCCTGCTGATGCATTAAGGAAGCGTTTGCAGTGCTGCACGACCATCCAGATGTCAGAGGGATGGGGGGAAGTGTTGGTCTGTCTAGGGGGTAGGAAAGCACTACAGGGGGATCTGGACTGGATGGATGGATGGGCTGAGGCCAATGGGGTGAAGTTCACCAAGCCTCGGTGGCGGGTGCTGCACTGTGGTGCCGACAGCCCCACGCAGCCCTCCAAGTGTGGAGCCAACAAGCATCATCCAGGGAGGCACTCAGCAACCATGGAGATGTGACATGTGGGGACACAGTGGGATGGGTTGAGGTTGGACTTGGGGATCTCAGAGCTCTTTCCCAACCTTTATGGTTCTATGGCTCTATGGTTCCATTCCTCACTCTCCTGGGGAGTGGGAGCAATATTTCCGGATGCCGCTCTCTCCTTTTATTCTTTTCTTTTCAACCACTCCAGGCTGAGAATAGGAAGGCTTTCATGTGGGGGATTTTTCCTCTTCTGATCTTCAAAGAAATCCAGCAATCAAACAGGTAATATTAAATTAAAAAAAAAAAAAAGCACAGCTTTGAAAACATCGCATGCAAAACGTCACAACTTTGTTGTGTTAATTGTGCTGGCACTTGAGTTAATGCAGGATGTCTCAGAAATAGCGCTGGCCCCCGGCCCGTGCTGTATCTGACAGACATGGGATATCTGGAGCAGAAAACGCAGGGAGAAAACCAAATAACAGGAGATTTCTATGAGAAAGATGAGCTGTGTGGCTCTGTCACAACCGGTGATGACAGCAGATGGGTGATTGGGAAAGCGATGGGCGCGATGCACCGCTGCTCCCACAGCCCCAGTGCTGCACTGCTGCCCCATGAAGGACTCGTGTTCCCCTCCCACACCATGTCCCCTCCAGCCCCAAATATGGGCTCGGTGCATCCGGGCTCCCAGCACAAGCCCGGGCAGGATGGGACCAGATTTGAGTCACTGTGCTGTGAGGGAGCGGTGCTGGGCTGGGTTCCCTCCTGCTGCCAGATCCCCAGCACAGAACATCCTTCTCCTCCCTTCTTTTAGGACTTGATGGATTCTCAGAGATATCACATGGGGGCTCCAGGATCAGCTCCAGGTGTGGGTGATCCCCCTTCCCCCCCTCCTCCATGCAGCAGCCCAGCATCGACCTGAAGGTTCCTACACCCCACACCCAACAAACAAGCACCCTATGGGGCACTGGGTGAACCCCAGAGATGCGAGCTCACTCTGGGGCTGAAAGCCCCACTGCTTCCCTGGCTGTGCTGGGGATGCTGGCCAAGCTGGAGTCTTTGCCCTGCACAGCCACGCAGCAGCTGTAGGTATCACTGCATGGGGCCAAAGCATGCAGGGAATGCGCAGTGGGGGGCAGAGAACTTCGTGCCCCACAGCGTCGTCCCTCTCCTGCAGTGGGGACCTGAAATGTCTCTGATTTACTCGAGTGGAAACGGGAAATTGTTACCGTGCTTTAGAGAGCAATAAAAGCAGTTTCAATGCCGCAGCGGGAGGAGCAGACAAAGGAAACGGAGGGGAATGGGATGGAAGGGGGGGGAACTGGGGGAGGGGGGGCAGCAAAGCGGTGCTGTGCATCTCCAGAGGGATTTTGCTCCAGGGGAGGTGCCTGAGAGCACAGCTCCTGCTGCCATCACCTACACACAGCTCACAGACCTGGACACGCTCTGCAGCAGCGTTGGGAAAGCAAAAATTGGGAGCTGTGTTCTCCTGGGTGGAAAATCCAGGAGATTTGCATGGAGGATGCACGCTTTGGGGTCCCCATGGCTGAGGAATGGGGTGGGTACGCTGGAAAGCCTGCAAATAAAGGTTGAGGGCACACTGCACAATGCATTACACCCCCCAGGACACACACACATCCACAGCCAACTCACATTCAGCCATCCTAGAGCAAACCCCATAGCCACGCACAGCCCCAGCATCACCACCAGAGCCACAGGACCCCACAGCCCCAGCACAGCCCAGCCTGGAGCATCCCCCAGAACACTGCGGTGGAAGAACAACCAGGAAAACAACCAACACAAGCCTTCTGTTTTTAATTTAATGTTTTTTTTTTTTCCTCTGGACCACGCTGTAGGAAGGAACAGAGCCATTGCCCACACAGCAGTGCAGCACAGCCACCCCACAGTCACCCACGGGGGGGGGGGGGAGGGCTGATACTGAGCTGGGCAAATCCAGTGCTGATGAAGTTTAACATTAACTCACACACGAGGCAATAAATAAAGAAGCAGTGCCTTAGGAAAGGCGC